ACGTGCCGAGCCTAACGGCCACCGAGGGCATTGAGCGCGCGAATCAGCAGCGCCGCCGCTATCGGTGTCTGCTTCGTGAATCTCACGCACCCCAACCAAAACCTCAACTTTGTTCCTCGCCGCCAACTCAAGTCCCGACCCCCCCCCCCCCTCCCCACTTCTGCGATCGCGCTGCTGTCACCATCCTAGAATCTCACCCAGATCCCGAGGAACTCTGGCGAACAGACTAAACACCGAATTCGAGAGTCAAACATCATCGCACCTCCTGGATTTGACATTCCTCCTCGGAGGCACTGGTGGGAACCATCAACCGCATCAAAACATCAACAGGCCGATGGTCAACATCTCCTTCATTAATTATAAATTAAAGATAAGCCACTGTAGGGCGACTGTGGCCATACAACCCGAACTATGGACCACGTAGTAAACACGGTCCCGAGGAGTAGCAGAACTACACGAACTCTCTCCTGAAGCCCTGTCGTGGCTACCAGACCTCTACATTGCCCATTTAGCTCCAGAAACATCTTTCTGCCATCATGCGAATGAATATAATAGCATTGTGAATCTCTGAGACATTGACGTTCATGATTCGCCGACGAGCGATTCAAATCCACGCAACGAGACTTGACAAAGCGGCGTCAGTGACAAAGAGTGGCCCTCGTGGAGCGGTGTCCTTGCAGCGTGGTGACAAAGGGCCACGCGGCGTGCGCGTCACGAGACTCGAGGTGGCCCGTGGGGTGATGACGATCGCTCAGCTAACTTTGTGTCATGGAGGAGCGCGTGAGGTCCCACGAGGAGCGGTCGCAATTGCAGGGTCCAATTCCGGAAGCCGAATCCGCGTTGTTAGACTCGGGCCCATTTAAACGTTCTCGTACTAAACGCTGGACTTTTCTTGTCGTTCGTTTTATTGTTTGCGGAATGTTACAAACCACCGCGCGAAACAAAAGCATGCGCAAGGCCGGCTTCGTCTGAATCGGTGGGAAAACGAGTACCGTGGCCAGCACCGAGCACGGGGGAGCCCTTGCGGGTGCCGTGACCGCAGGCACAGTGAACGGGGTTGTGCCCCCTCGGCCCGGCGCTATCGTCACGAGCGGTGACGGCGAAAGCCTCGCGAGAGGCCCGCGAGGCTCCCAACTGGCCGGCCGACGGGACGCAGGCTGCAAGGTGACGGCGACGAGGAGGGTTCCTCTCCCCCGCGTGCGCTCGCTCCCTCTGGGGCCGGCCGCTCTAATCCCGCCACTGAAAAAGTGAAACAGCGGAGGATTTGGCAGCACCGGGCGAGCGGTGAGGGCTCTGCTGAGCGGAGACCCCTGGGGGATTCTGTGAATCCGTGCGTTCGGAGCTCCCATTCCTCACCGCAGCCATCAGCCACCCCCCCTCCCCCCTTCCCCGTTCTGAATTATCACGTCATGATCCAGGGTGTCCAACTTCCACGCCCGAACCTGCGATGTCAATGCTACGAGCGTTGCGTATCGAGGGCTACTACGCATGTTCACTTAAGACAACAATTAAAAAATGATATCAACACCAAACAAAAAAAACCCCATCGTTGCATAGTTCGGTGTGTTTCTGGGAAGCTCGTGCATTAAAACTGCACCCTGAGGGGGCCTTAATTCTGCCTTGGTGAGCCGCGGACATTAAATTGAAACTCGATAAAAGCGTGGAGCTACGCACGCATCCTGCGGTTGATGGGGGATGGGGGGTACATCTGCTGCTGCTCTTCGCACTCCCTCCCAAGCGCGCCCCAGCATCGAGGGGCGTTCACGTGGCCAAGCGGTTGCAGATGTTCACGGTTCGAAAGCAGCGGCCGTCCCTGGTTATTACTGCGGGTGTATTCGCCATAACGATGCTCCGCGCCGTCTACTGCGTAGATCTCATTGGGGGCCACTCGCAACGGTAGGCCATTGCGTGCGTGCCGTATTCATGACGCAAAGTGGCCGAATTTGAAGAAGAAAAAAATACCCGCAAATTAGTCCACGCGGGCCGTTGAGACAAGTGCTGTTGGCGAGCACTTATGAAGGCCAGCAGGGCTGACGAGGAGCGTGTTCACCTTAAACACAACATGAACGCGTACTTCACTGTGTCTATATATGGACTGAATCATACGGAACACTAGACATAATGCAGACCACCAACGAGGCCTGCATTATTTCCACTGCAAAACCCCAAGGTGGCCTCTGGTCACCACGCGAGGCGTAGTGTCTGGCACTGCGCCTGGCGCTCGCCGCACTCACCACCACCACTGTCCCCTGCGGCACCAGGGCCACGCTTTGGTGACGAGAGCCACTTGCGGCGTGAGCACGTGCCAACAGACAAAGATCCCCCGTATAGCCTGTAACAGACTGCAGGGGCAAGTGCTGATAGCGAGTAGCACTCACGAAGGCCACAGCGCATGTCTACACGGCATGTAAACCTAACTGCTTCGATTCATCCGCCGACACCAACGCTTTGCAGTCGCGTTGCAAATGACCTTGGGTCGCTCTTGCACCCCCAGGGTTTCTTTTGCAAAGGGGACACCTATCCTGGCCTCTTGAGTTCTCACCTGGTTGCACAGAACCAACTTGGCGGCCTGACGCCGCCCACCCCACTCGCGCATGCGGACTCCTGGAGAGACAATCGCCTGTCCCCGTCCTCCTTGCGCCTGTCCGCTTTCACCGACCACCACTAATCATGACCTTGCACCGAATGAGCCGAACTCCTCGGTGCGCTCTGCCTTGCCCGCTTGATAGAAGATACGCGCATCGTGTTCGGACGTTGCTGTTAACCCACAGAGGTCGTTTAACATCTTCTGTCATTGCCTTTACGCTGGTAATCGGTTACTGCTGCCCGACCTGCACTGCCCAGTCGGGTGGGTGAATCATTGTCACGCTTCAGTTTTTATTCCATTTCCCCGTGTTCCCAAGGGGTGCCCAAAAAAGCACGTGCTGCTGTTGCTGCGACTGCTGCTGCTGCTTCTGCATCGCCACCTTTCCCAACCTTCAATTTAACAACTAAAGCGGATTAAATTGCACGCTAAAAAGGACCGACTTTCGTAATCACGGCACAAAAAAAACAATAAGCATGGACGCGGGACTGCGCGGATTGTGCAATGTCAGCGGGACATGCGTCACCATGCCACGGTTGCGTGAAGCGTCGGATAACGAGTCGAGGGGCAAGCGTCGCAGTGGTTAATCAACGATTGTTTTGAGTCGTCACCTCGAATGAGCACGCTGCCTCCGGTAGAAATGTCCCGAACGCTCACGCGGCAGAGCAACATGGGAAACGGCGCGTGGAGCTCCACGCGTGTGGGAGTCACGCGTGTAGCTCCACGCGTGTGGGAGTCACGCGTGGAGCTCCACGCGTGTGGGAGTCACGCGTGGAGCTCCACGCGTGTGGGAGTCACGTGTGTAGCTACACGCGTGTGGGAGTCACGCGTGGCGCTACACGCGTGTGGGAGTCACGCGTGGAGCTACACGCGTGTGGGAGTCACACAACGGGGCCGGGCAAAGTATGCGCCCGATTATGTTTTCACATTACCACTATCCCAAGGCAAATTTAAAATGATGGAATATTCCTCTGCAAAGGACAGTGGGAAGCCTTTACAAAGGTTAATGGGGCTGAGCGGTATTCATGTCGCAACGACACTCAGGCTCGCCGCAGCCCTCGGAATGCTCCGCCCGGCCGCGTCCCCTCGACCAGCGCGCAAACAGCACCCATCGCATCCGCACTCGCATCATCACCATCGTCATCATCCACTCGCATCATCACCATCGTCATCATCCACTAAAATGATCACCATCGTCATCATCATCTTCTATCATCACCATCTTCATCATCCACTCGCATCATCACCATCGTCATCATCCACTAAAATTATCACCATCGTCATCATCATCTTCTATCATCACCATCTTCATCATCCACTCGCATCATCACCATTTTCATCATCCACTCGCATCATCACTATCGTCATCATCCACTCGCATCATCACTATCGTCATCATCCACTCGCATCATCACCATCGTCATCATCCACTAAAATTATCACCATCGTCATCATCATCTTCTATCATCACCATCTTCATCATCCACTTGTATCATCACCATCGTCATCATCCACTCAAATGATCACCATCGTCATCATCATCTTGTGTCAGCACCATCGTCATCATCCACTCGTATTATCACCATCGTCATCATCATCTTGTATCATCACCATCGTCATCATCATCTTGTATCATCATCATCACCATCGTCATCATCATCTTGTATCATCACCATCGTCATAATCATCTTGTATCATCATCACCATCGTCATCATCATCTTGTATCATCACCATCGTCATCATCATCTTGTATCATCATCATCATCACCATCGTCATCATCATCTTGTATCATCACCATCGTCATCATCATCTTGTATCATCATCATCACCATCGTCATCATCATCTTGTATAATCGCCATCGTCATCACCATCATCGTCATCAATTGAGAATCACTCTGTTCTAACCAAAGGTATTTAAGAAGAGCCCCTAACTATGTTCCACAATGCCCTCTTTAGTTTACGCTTTTACTCGATAGTAAAACACAGGTTTTCAATTTACGATAAAAACCCAAACAATCTGAGTCGATAGGCCTTCATCAAGAGTGCTAAAGGTCTATTGGTCTAAATATCGATTGGCTTCTCTTCTGTTTCCACATGAGTAATTCCCTTGTACAACCCTACAAATACCATCCGTTAAGTTATTAAAAAAAGGATGGCTTTCAACATTGTTTGCATTTCGGCCGTCGTAGTTTGTAATACGATGGATTAGCGTCCACTCGCATTACAATTTTGTGGGGTGGGAAATCAGCAGCAGCGCGATAAGTTTACCCCAGGCGGGTCAATAGTGCGACCCTGATCGATAAATGAATGAGTGCGACGAGGAAGAGGAGGAGAGAGGAGAGAGGGGGGAAAGAGGAGGAGACAGGAGCCTGACGGTCAATGCCACATCGACCCCGAGCCGCGACACACGCACCTCCTTCAGACGCGGTCCGTGACCTCCCGGGGAGCGGTGCATCCTGGACACAACCAAACGACACCAGCGATTACCATCATCATCGTCATCATCATTACACAATCAAGGAGTAATCGGTACGCCTATCGCAACCACATCTGAGCACACACTCACCGTGCGACGACAATACAAGAGTTCAACAGTGACCGACTTTATCATCATCATCATCACCACCGTGAGTCGCGCGAACACATTTAAATAAACGTCGGTGGAGCACAGCGACTTTCCCAATGCCCAACAGAACCGCCTCGCACGGCGGCGCGCGCCGAGATCGCCCCCCCAAGGGGGTACTCGAGGAAACCGGAGCGGCCGATTAAACGGCGAGCCGGAGCCCCCCTTTCTCGGTCGCGGCGATAAATTCGCGAGCCGAGAGGCGGCCGTCGCGGTAATTACAGCGGAGGGCGATGTGGGATGCGTGAGGATTCAGGACCCTCTCGCGCGAGCGAGCGACGATCAATGAGCGCCGAGCGGCATTGAGTGCGTGCCGTCAGCCGGCCCCTCGCCGCACAAAGCGCGAGTGAGTTACGGCTGCAACGGCGATCTCCACGGGGAACAGCGGCAGCCCGCACGTGGCTCCGACACGGCTAGAGAGACAGAGAGAGACAGACAGAGAGAGAGGGGCTCAATATTTCACAAGCGGTGAGTACTATCGTCTCTCTCTCTCGTGTTGTGCATTGATGAGCCCCGCGAGGAAAGCTATTATTATCGAGCTCCCAGGCGGTGAAATTGAGGACCTCGTGGGCAACGCCTCGTCAACGCACGGCGTTGACGAGGCGTTGACGCCCACTTCACATCCAGGGGCTTCGCGTTATTTCCCGAGAAGGCAGGGAAGCCGAGTCTACGGCGCCACCATCAAATTCACGGTTACCACTCCAGGTCTGGATTTCGTAGTAAAGATTATGAATCGCGATTCATTTGTTTAGGCCAGGTGATGATTTGTTGGGTTATGCCACGTGATGATCTGGCCAATTTTCCGTCGTGCGAGCCTCCACCAACCAACACATTGAAATAAATTTCATTGATTCAAAAATAATTCTGACTTTCAGGATTGTCATTCCGTTTTGCTGAATCTGTTCATCATGATGTTTCAAAGGAAACGTCACGTTATCCAATCGCTGTTAGCGTTTAGCAGTGCGGCTATTTTGCTTTAGATGTCATCATCTATCTTGGCAGCAATTATGTTGCCTCTTTTCTCTCAGCGTCTCTGCTATACCTGCGGTGTTCGCACCCCCCCCCCCACCCTCCCCTCTCTGACTTATTTAACTGCCCTAACCCTGGTCTCTCTCCCACTTCAGTAAAACATTTCCTTGCTGTGGTTGTCACACCTGATGATGATTGCTTGTGTTGCAATCGAAACGTCGTGATTTATTTATTTCCATTTTTTATTTTTATTTTAGATTTTTTTACGTTTTATTTATTTTTTCATCTACGTGACTTTACCGAAAGAACCAAAGAGCGTGGATCCTTGCAGTCACGAAAACTTCAAATCTATAATTAATCGCTTTTAAATCGAGCTGCGAGGATTGTTCTTCAGCTCTCCCGGCGAGTGAGCTGAACCAATAATTATCGGCGCGATTTTTTTTTACGCTGGTACACCACGTGACAATTTGTTTGGCGGCGTTGGATGGTGGAGGGCCTGAACGACACACATTTTGTCGGATCAGCACGCGGTTTAACCCAAACATGTATCGTGAATAAGAATCTTGCCTGCGAAACCCTGGACATTGAATGATCACTCTAAATCAACGGCACGCTACGCTGGACTTGCCCCACCGATCCGTGACTCGGGGCACTGTCGCACAGGCGAGCCTTCTGCAAGTACAACACAAAATAGCAGCAGCAGCAGGAGCAAGCGGGCTGCGAAGTAGAACTGAGAACAACAGGAGAACGACTGGGACTAGACACTGACAGAGCAGATCCGAAAGCGACGACCCAAGTGGATGGGAGGCGAGTTGAGAGGGGAATCCCACACAAGGCGTTACGCACGCGCGGAACAAGGCGCAGAGGAAGAAACACGCTGCGTGGACTCGGTGAGGGATGATCTCGAAGAGGAAGGGAGGACGAGTGAAGGAGGCCGTGATGAGGCTGCTGCGGGACAGAGAGGGGTGGGGAGGAGAGGCCTCACCCGGTCCCTTCATCGTCTCTACGGAACACGTAAGGAACATTCGAGAGTCTTCATAATCAGAACATTTATTTGTACTGCAGGAATCCGATGAGCTATTTTTGTTCATAGATTTTAACACGGGCACGAGTGAAGCAGACGTCATAGCAACAAACGGGAGCAGAGAGGCAGCAAAGAGCCGGGTGATGATTGGAAATCGCCAATGGGCGCCATTCGGGAGAACAATGGAACCATCGCCCACGATAGAGGTGGCATCTGAACACAAGTGTGTGGTGTGTAGGAGGGGGGGAGGGGGATTTTAGGCAGATCTCTATGGCACAAAATGCAGACGGCGCAGGGACCAGACCGACTTTGAGCCGGAAAGGCGGACGCTCCGGATGTCGCACTTGCAGAAGTGAAGTCTGCTCTTTGAGTGACAGACAAGGGGGAAGCTCCTGGACCAGATGGTGAAACTAGACTCAACTACTATTTTGTGATGAGACACTATTTTATATTTCACCAGGTAAGGCCCACTGAGCTATATGGCTCTTTTTTTCAGAAGCGCCCTGGCCACAAATGATATCCCAATGAACTAACTTATCACGTGCACATTTCTGAAAGCCAAATACTCCAAACGCACGTGGACATCATCAATGCAGCGGGACCAAATTCTGGAACAAAATGAGCGTCAATTTGATTTGAAGCTTTCGTCACTGCAGGAATTACTCTTTGGTTATTTCGGTAAAAACACGTAGAAAATAAATAAATTAAATAATAGAATACGACGTTTCGATTGCAACACAAGCAGTCGTCATCAGGTAGAACTACATTTGAGAAAGAGAGACAAAACACAGACACGGAGACGTACAGACACACAAGCAGAGAGAGACAACACAGAGACAGTCTCTGTGTGTCTATGTTGTGTCTCTCTCTGTGTCTCTATGTTGTCTCTCTCTCTCTCTGCTTGTGTCTATGTCTGTGTGTCTCCGTGTCTGTGTTTTGTCTCTCTCCCTCAAATTTGGTTCTTGCTGATGACGACTGCTTGTGTTGCAATCGAAACGTCGTATTCTATTATTTTATCTCTTTTTAATTTCTACGTGACTTTACTGAAAGAACCAAAGAGTGAGCGTAAATTGTTCACAAAACGAGATTAATCCACCATCACGGAAGGAGGACCTCATTTTATTCCAGAGACGTGATAACACTCACTTTAAGTACTACAACGTAAATAAGCAGACAATCCATCTCCTTCCTCTGTCTGTCCCTCCGCATATAAAACAATGAAGGTATATTTGTACACATCCCATCAGCCACACGGCCCTCTGCGGCAAGCCCGAATCTGCTGATGGGAAACTGAATGTCGAAACCGGGCGGGAGTTTGCTTGTTGTTGAACGGACGATGGGATGCGTTAAGATCACTTTTCTTTGTGTAGACGGACGGATGTGATGAATACATATAGCCACTGCTTACTAGGGCGAGCCACGGCCTATGTCCGTGTATTGCACTGCGACCACTCCGGAGATTCAGCGGCAGTCTTTGCGTTCAGATAATTCACTTGGTAAGTCCCTGGAGATGGAGGGACATCTCGTTTAAAGGGGTGTTCAGAGTGCCGGTTGACAAAGACAGAGACACAGATCCCCCCGTATAGCCTTAACAGCCTGTGGTGGCAAGTGCTGTTAGCGAGCACCTATGAATGCCGGCACGGCACACGAGAGGGTCGGTGGCCAACACCACGCCCGGCCGCCTTTGTCTCCCTACTGGCGATATTTACACACCGCACCAGGTACTCACTTGAGGCTGAGTCGACCTATCCTCACACACACGTAGCAAACACATCATGACACGCGTGCGCACATTTTTTTTTAATCTCTCGCATCAGTCGGGTGTGATCATCGGTGCGAATGCACACGGACACTGTACGCGTGCTGCTCACGCCTCGCTACCGATATAGAGCGCTGCTGGCTTAGAGCGCTGCTGGTTTACATCGCAACTGGCTCATATCGCAGCTGGCTCACACCGCAGCGCACAACTCGCCCGGATGAGCGTCATGCAGTGGCGCGTGGAATGCGCCGTACGTGCCGGTGCGCGTGAACGCGCACGCCGCCTTTATGCAGATTCGCCTGAGGATCGGGCATTCGTTTCTGTAAAGCCGAGTCGAGCCCTGAGCCTTGAGACTTGCTCGGGAGGCTCCTGCATTGGAATGTTTATCCCATTCATAATTTGCGAGTGTTTTTTTTGTTTGTTTCTCTTTCCGCGCGGGAAAAATCCCGGAGTTACCTCGGAGAGAAAAAAAACGACCGCGTGCACGAAGCGATCACACCCAAAAGGTCCGCACAGCCTAGGTCACGGGCCCAATTGCAGAACCCGCCACTGCTGGCCACATGGCAGTCCAACGGGTTTAGTAGATGTACGCATCTCTGCGTGATTCGGCGAGCCTTGCCCACAGAGTGCTGCATGTCAGCGAACAGGAAGCCTCTATGCGTGCGTGCGACACCGATGGATGTGACGGACAGACACGCGGCGCGCTGTGCGTGGTGACCGTGGGATCACCTGCTCGTGGTGCTGTCCCTGGTGCTGGAGCTGCTCGCGGTGCTGTCCCTGGTGCTGGAGCTGCCCGTGGTGCTGTCCCTGGTGCTGGAGCTGCCCGTGGTGCTGTCCCTGGTGCTGGAGCTGCCCGTGGTGCTGTCCCTGGTGCTGGAGCTGCTCGTGGTGCTGTCCCTGGTGCTGGAGCTGCCTGTGGTGCTGTGGCTGCTCGACCCCGGGGCTCGTGCCGTTCGCGTCGAGTCGGGGCCACGCGAACAGCACGAGGCACGCGACGAGCGCGAGTCGAGAAATCATCACCACCACCACCCACACTCACGCACAGAGCACCCCACGCTCACGCGCAGAGCTCCACACTCTCACGCGCAGAGCTCCACACTCTCACGCGCAGAGCTCCACACTCTCAGGCGCAGAGCTCCACACTCCAGCGCGCAGAGCTCCACACTCTCAGGCGCAGATCTCCCTACTCTCACACCCACAGCGCTCTGACACCCCCTCACACAGCGCCCTCACGCTCGCACGCGTTCTTCACACGCTCTCAGACTCGGCTCCCACGAGCGCCGCGGCCGTGAGCAGGACGCGTCCCGTTGCGGGAGACGCCGTCGCCGTCGCGGCTGCTGCTGTTGCTGTTGCTGCTGCTGTTGCAGCTGCGCGCGTTTTCCTCTATGAGGAAAAAACCCGAGTGCAGCGCAGCGGAGCCGAGCAGCGATCTGCAACTCCCGCGGAACTTTAACTCTAGCGCCGAGCGAACCACGACTCCATACCCCCAGCCCATCCACACCCGCCGCAGCCTTTACCCCCCCCCCCTCATCCTACCACCCACCCACCCTCTCACCCAATCCTCTCACCCCGCCATCCAACCACCCAACCACTCACCCGCACGCAACCACCCACTCTCCTCTCACGCGACCACACACCCCCTCATGCAAACACCCAACCTTTCACGCAACCGAACAACCACCCAACCTCTCTCTCTCACCCAACCACCCAACCACTCTCTCTCACGCAACCACGCAACCACCCAACCACCCAACCTCTCTCTCTCTCTCACCCAACCACACAACCTCTCTCTCTCTCTCTCACCCAACCTCTCTCTCTCACCCAACCACCCAATCTCTCTCTCTCACCCAACCACACAACCTCTCTCTCTCTCTCACCCAACCACGCAACCTCGCTCTCTCTCACGCAACCTACCCCACCCCCCTCCGCGCGTCTCGCTCCCCGCGGCCATTAGAGGCGATCGATGGGGGTCACGGCAGAGCTGCCGCCGCCGCCGCCGCTCGTGCCTGCCGATCGACAGCGACTGCTACGCGCGGCTCGGCGGAGTCTCATCCATGGCGGCGCCCACGAGCGACAGTCGCGACAGGGATTCACTCTCGGCGGAGCCGCACGGAGCCGCACGGGCAGTGGCATCAGCGATGCGTAAACGAGCGCGCGAATTGACGCGTTGTGCCGCGGGACACGAGGAATGAGCGTCGGTGATTGCCAGTGTAGCTGTGCAGAAGAGGTGCATCGTGAGAGTGGTGGGGGTCGGTGGGGGGGATGCTGTTTGGGCTCCATTGACCACACGCCCCATGCTGTCTTCGTCTCTCGCGGCCTCGCGACGGTGACACGATCCCTCCCTCTAGATCAGGGGTCGGCAACCAAAACAACAACAAGAGCCTTTTTTCTTGTTTAGAATTCGGTATAAGCCTCAATATCTCAAGAGCCGCGATGCAATGTGAATACGAGACGGTGGTTCCTTAATAGATAAGGTCGCGAAGCGGTCCTGAAAGAGCCGCATGCGGCTGCAGAGCCGAAGGTTGGCGACCCCTGGTCTGGAACTTGACCACCGCCAGCTGATCTGATCTCTTCATGCCCTTTGGCAGCCCCTCGCTCCGGCGTTAGTTGGTCACCATCGTCCCACTGCTCATCGACCGTCGTCGTATCAAGCCAAATGTCACCGAGCCAAGAGGACGCGTCTCTTGTGCGCGTGTTCTCTGACGCATGCGCCCCACTCCTCGACGCCTCTCAATGCAATTCCAGGCGTGACGCCTCTCTCCGTGCGTCTCCGCGCACTTCAGCTCGTGTTCCATTTTAGTCGCCAACGCCCATGGTTTTTTGATCCACTTGTTACAGAAGGCAGCACGCTCTGATTCAAATGTTCCACTTTGGCCTAATTGCTTTATTTGTTAAGTTCGGTTTTTCGAAATTGCTCCAACCACCCCCCGCGTCCGTCTCTCTTATTTCATGGTGTCGACCAAGTTCGCCTTGTGTAATCACTGCCTCTCGTGTGTGGGAATTAACGCAGTCATCCAACTGCCCACAAACCAAGGAATCCAATCAAACTAAATAAAAAAAATCAAACAAATAAAAACTGTCTACGAAAAAAATGGAACAATTACATTGAGATTGTGTGAAAAAAGTAACACGATACATTCTACAAGGGGAGTCAGGCAATTTTATTCTACTGTTTGCGTACGATGTTCAGCGGCGAGATGTTCAGCGGCGAGATGTTCAGCGGCGAGATGTTCAGCGGCGAGATGTTCAGCAGCTCGATGCCAATGTCGAGGTCTGGTGGCCAGGGCAAGTGCGAGTCGGTGGCCCCACCTGCCACGTGTCTTCATGTCACGTTCGAGACAACTAATGTCCTCATCTTGGCCGAAATGGACGTCGTTAATTCTAAATCCCGGCAAGATCCGTCAGGCAATGAGACAAACGTTCTCGAGAGTGATGCGGTGACCTTCGACTAAGCTTCATGAAACGTGGATTGGCCAAAGGCACGAACATAAAAGGAGACAGCATGAACCATCTTAAATGTTCAGATGACGTCGTTATTATATTAAAGAGAGGACATGATTGAAGCACTGGATACAGAAGACACGTGAGCGGCAAACAGAAGTGATGTAAACGTTTGATAAACACGTGGAGATATTTGCTGCAGGGACAGACTGGGAATAAAGACACCCCGTATAGCCTTAACATACGTTTGGCAAGTGCTCTTAGCGAGCACCTATGAAGGCCGGCACGGCACACGAGGTGGTGGGTGGCCAGCACCACTCGCGGCCGTCTTTGTCTCCCCAGTGGCGATGTTTACACACCGCACCAGGTACTCATTTGAGGCTGAGTCGACCGAGGGGAGGCCTAGAACCGGTTCAGATAATCGTCATTGGTGTTGGTTGTGAGCGGGAATCAGGTACGTAATGCAGCGCGCTAACCACTACACCAACAACAACAACCGCCATTCGCCACTAAGTGGCGGTGACGTCACCACGACGCTTGTGCCAGGCTATGTGCACGTTGAGGCCACGTGAAGAGTCGAACGCCCGCTGGCAGGAAGTCACGGGGCAGACCCAGGTGCCACGGGCCGACTGACTGAGATGACTGGCTGATACGCCACCTGTGCCCCCTACTGTGCCAACTTGCTGTGGTTTAGCCACCCGGCGCTCCGCTCGTTGTTGTGAGCGTCGCTCCTCCGCCCTCCGTTGTTGTTGGAGGCCGACTGCCTCCAACTGCCCAGTAGCGTCCTTCACGAGCCTCGTCCACAGAGGCTGATCTTGACACCGCTGGTACCAGTCATCGGCAAAGTTCATTCAGCTCCACATCCTCCTGTACCACATAACTTCATCTCTTCTCTAGCCCGTACCGCGCCCGTTTAGCCCCCTCTATCCGGCCGAACAAAAGCTGTTTAGGCATGCGGTGGCTGGGCATGCGGGCTACATGACCCAGCCAACGCAGCCTTGCCTGCCAGAGGAGATCACCGATGAGACTTTGTCCAGATCTTTCAAGGATTTGTGAGCTCCTCACACAATCTAGCCTGGTTAAACCCAGGATGGATCGTAGGCCGTCCAGCCTAAATGTTTTTAACCAGCGAAGATATTCCATTAGGGGAGTCCACGTTTAACAAGTGTAGAGAAGGGAGGGAATGACCGTGGCCAAGAAGACCTCAAGCTTCGTGCGGAGCAACAGACCTGGTAGCTTCCACACAGCGTTACGCAACCGATGAAAATATAATGCCGCTCGACTGATTCGGAGTGAGACCTCTGCTGTTAAACCAGAGCCGGTCATGAGCACACTGTCCAGGTATGGGAAACTCTCCACTCTCTCCACAACTGCCCTATCACCAATTGGGAGTTGTGGGGGTGGAGTGTCCGATGGCACAAAATACCCAGGCAGGTGCTTAGTTTTGGTGGGGCTAATGGTAAGTCCCCACCTCTTAGTGGCAAGCTCCTGGTTCAGCAGCAGCACCTCCAACTCCTCCTCTGAGTGAGCAGCAATTACCAGATCATCGGCATACATAACGTGGTTGAGCAATAGGGAGCCATCCCTTGACCGCACCCGGCCATTGATCAGCCTCCCATTGTATCTGTACTAGATGGAAATTCCTCCAGTACAGCTATTGAAGGCTTCACGAACAACATGGTCGAAATAGATGTTAAAGAATGTGGGAGCCAGAGGACATCCCTGTCGCACCCCAAGGTGAACAGGGAATGGCTCCAACTCCCGGCAAAAACAACCCCCTACCTCCTCGAGTGCCGGATGACAATGCTGTGGTGGGCAATGCCGTGGGGGGTGGGCCAATTTAGATTGGCCATTCCCCTCATGGCGTTTGTAACCAGCACAGCGGCCAAATGGGGCCTCTGGACGGATGCAAGGGGCTGGTAACCCCTCCACCTTCAATTAATTACCACCAAACCACTATAAAAAATGTAATGAATAAGCTTGTGCTAGAGGCCCCGGAGGGACAGGCGTCTATGACGTCTCCTGGCCAAACTCCACTTTTGGCGGAGCCAGGAGACTGAATCCTTACCCTCGGGGCTCCTCCAGAAACAACAAAAAAAACCCACTACGGGTGGCCACGTGGAATGTTTGAACGCTAACTGTGGAGGAGAGGCTGCCACTCCTCTGTCGGGAGCTGGACCGGTACCGCCTGGATCTCTGTGGTATTCAGGAGGTCCGGTGGACTGGCTCTGGCTCCTGCCACCATGAGGGGCAGGAGACTGCCAAACAACAGGGAGTGGCTCTTCTTCTGAACAATTGGATGAAGGGGGCGTGGGAGGGTGGTGGTGAGGTGTGGGAAGCTGTAAGCCCCAGACTACTTTGGGCTCACCTTCCCATCAACCAGAGGCGAGGAGTGGTGGTCGTGGTTACTTATGCCCCCACCGAAGACGAACATTTGTGGAGGGATGCAGGCAAGGCCGATGAGTCAGATGCCTTCTATGACCTCCTGTCACAGGTGCTAGCTAAAGTGGCCCTTCAGGATAGAGACATCTTGTTGGGTGACTTCAATGCTCGAGTTGGTCATGATGCTGGCATCTGGTCTGAAGTGATTGGAAGGCATGGACCAGATCAGCTCAATAACAACGGCAGGAGGCTGCTAGATTTTTGTGCAGACCATGGGCTTGTAATTTCCAACACGGGTTGCTGAGGAGATGGAGTCTGCCTCAATGGCCCGCGATCACAAATCGCTCTTTAACTCCATCAAAAAAGTAACCTGCAGCGCTACACCTATTAATCATTAGGGGAAAGAACGGTGAACCGATCTCCGACCACCAGGAACAGGTTTGCAGATTTGCTGAGCATTTCTGTGAGGTCCTAGGGGACGGAAAATCCCTCAGCCTGGAAAACAACGTGGGACAAAATGGGGATGGTCCTGCTGAGGCTGCGGTGCCTCACACACACGCGTGTCTCCTGCACGCATCCTACAGACAGATGCCCTGGGGTGTAGGGCCATGGATAGGGGTCACACGGCTCCTGGTGAGGTCAAGAGCTCCTCGGTTTAAATTCAGCCCTGGG